CCAGAGGAGTCGCCCCCTGGTGGACACTAGAGAGAATGCAGCTTTAAGACACTTCACTCGGCGGAGGTTGCCGCCTAGTTGTAGGTTGAAGCCCCCCCCTCCTGCATTAGCAGAGGGTAATACTGAGTTGATATGTGAAGCAGCACTTTGCATTTTTAATAACAGATGTGAAGCCGTAGTAATGACAATTAGTCGACATGCAAGAAAGAGTTGTCTGCCGAGGTATTGAAGGACGAACACATGCAGTCAGATATTGACATGGTGTCTGCTGCAGCAGACGAGCAGCTGTCTCCGTGTCCTTGGCGGCTGCCGGTGCGGAGGGACAGTCGTTGGTATTCAGCAGAGTGAGGCGGCTGGATGGCTGCTGTCACCGGGGGGGCAAAGGGGAGGCCGGCCGGAGTCCACGTCCTCCTCGATAACAAACCAACATGCACAGGCTGCGTGTTGGTGTGCAGCTGGATGCATGAACCCACACGCTGATGTGCTGCATGATTGCACTGCAGAACAAAATACAGACTAGAATACACACACCTATGTACATACATGTGATGTATTTATATGCAAAACAGCTTCTGGTGAAACATTAGCATTATTTGTGTTGGCACAGAAACAGGCACACATACAGAGACGCATTAAAGACGCCCTCTGATGTTATGCATTTTCATTATAATAGCTGGTGCAGAAGAATTTAAACACACACATATAATATAGAGCTCATTTACATTTACAGATAACAGTTAGACTTTTATAAACTATTAGACTGAGGTTGGCGATGTTCGTTGTTGGTCCATCAAGCCGCCTAATTAGAGACATTTTCCTTTAACTCAAATTAAACGTATTTATCTGCCTAAAGTTACATTTAATCTCCGAATGCTTGACAAGCCGTACGACTTACATCCCTCCTCTATCCTCCGAGACTCATTTCCTCTTCGGATGAGTTAAAACGTCGCACGCAGAAACTTTTAATGAGCAAAGTAAAATAACCCCTGACCTTTCCTCTGGCTGCACTGCCAGAAATATCCAACTTTAATGGGTTGCCATGAAGTTTACTCAGCGTGTTCACGCTTATTACGCAGGATGAACCTTTTTCCATCTTTGGACACTTTGTAGCCAAAGTGTGGAGGCGGGTTTATCAAGGCCACATCCACACGCAGCACATCTCATAATGTATTGGCAGGTTGTCGAGTGTTTGCAGAGTGTTTGCAGCAGGTTTTATGTTTTTTTAATGAACCTCTGGCCTTCCCTCAATTAGTGAGGCTCTAACAACAGGTATTAAGTAACAAGTATTGTTACGGCACGTTGTTTGTTCCACCTCAGTATTGTGAAGTCAGAGAACAGCCTCAGGAGCAGCTAGAGGACCTTTAAGGTCTTTATTAAATAATCTATCACTCATTTATTTAATTCTACACTCACACAGGCTGGATTGTATTTATTGTTTTATTCCTTATTTTGCTGCACAGGAGACGAAACTTACGTTCCTCTGGAAAGTAGGATGACGCAAAGTATCCAGAGGGTTTAAATGTATTTAATTAACTTTAAAGAAACCGTAAACTTAAATTATGAACTAGAAAAATCAATATGAAGAGTGATTTTACGTAGAAGCTTAAATGCATGTTATCCTCTCTCTTCACCGCTTCAACAAGGGCTGCAATCATTTTCACTATCCATTAATCTCCCCATTATTCTCTAGATTGATCGATTAATCGTTCTTTAATCGTCTTGTGCAGGTCTGTCGGTCTGTCGGTGAACAAAACATGTCTCAGAAATAATTAAAGGTGTGAAAAGCTGTTTTTAGAATTCACTGTTTCTCTTCCTCATACTAATAATAATAATATAATATATAATAATTGTATTTGCGTAATCACAAGGTGACATCGGTGGAAAGTCACTTTCATCAAATACTGTAATGTTGTAAAAACATGTTCTGTACTTTTCTTCTCCACTACATTTATTCACAGCTAAGAATTTGAAAAAAAAATGTATGAGTTCATAAAAGATGACATTTGACTCCATTCAAACTTTTTCATTTAATATATGCGCCGATGACACTTTTTTCTGTATGAAATGACTGAATTCATGGTTTAATATTCCTCATCACCTCTGAACATCGCCTCCCCGAAAACATCTCATTTCCTGCAGTCGGTGTGCTCTCGTGTAGTCTCAGACAGCTTGGTCAGTCAGAGATACACAGAGATGTCGGCCGTGTTACTTCTCCATTACCGCTCTGAAATCAGCACATAGGCAATTTCCATCCCGATCAGATATCAGGTGTCCGATAAGAGACTCCCCTCCCTCACCTCATAACCGCCAGATGATGGAGATGTGATTTACTGCTGTGCCTGACACACACACACACACACACACGCACACACACACACACACACACATCTTCTGTCCCCTGAAGACTCATCCGTCTTCTGAGACGAAGACGCTCACACTTTGTCTCAAAAATCAAGGTTGATTTTGTTCATTCACTGCGACTCTCCTTCGGTGCCACAAAGAGTCAGAACTGAAGGGAACTGTGAAAGTGTCGGTGCATCAATCCTGCATCCAAACGGCAGGATTGATGCACCGACTGAAGGGAAATAAAAAGACAGTTTGGGGAAAAGAGACAAGGACCGCCGTCATTTCTTAGCTGTCAGACGTTAAAAGTGATCGCCCGCTATCTGGAGACTTGTGTGACGGTACGCTAAATGTTGCCGAGGACAAAGTGCCAGTGTGATGTGATACACAGCTGGAGATACACAGGGATGGAGAAGCAGTGAACTTGTGTAAAAAGTGTGTTTTCTAAGGGGGGAAATAAAACATGTGTTCACAAATAAAACCCAGTGGAGGTGAGTTAACCCTCTGAACCCCAAAGCAGTCACATTTTACTCTCTGTGGTCTCGTTTTTCACCGCAGTATAAAAGTCCTGCTCCTCTATGGAAACAGCACAACCATGACTAGAAGTAGAGAGAACTCAAACATGTATTCTGTGCAGAATATCACAGTTATAATGCCATTAATCTGAAAAAAGGAAAGAAAACGCAAGTTGAATTTCTTTGATAATTTCTTTTACAAAAATTGGAAAACACTAGAATCTAAATATCCAACATGTTTCCAAGTGTCTACAAGTGTTATCAATTTTGGGGGGGGGAAAGATGGAGGCTCCATGTGCTATTTATATTGAACTGTTCTCATTTTTACAACCTTTACTTTTTACAGCTTCTGGCTGTGACAAACGGTGTAGTTTTGGCGACTGCTTAAAGAAAACTTTTCAATCCCGCCGGCGGGTTTTGGGTCCCAGAGGATAGAGATCCAGATTTCTAAAGTCTGTCTCTCGACTGTCTCGTCCAGCAGGAGGCTCCGTTGGCGGCTCCGTTGGCGGCTCCGTTGGCGGCCCGCGGGTCGTCACCCCCGATGTGCCGTTCTCCGTGGACGACCTGACGGCCGACCACATCTTCTACGTCCAGGACGGCCAGCACAAAGCTCAGGCCAAACAGGACGTCTTCAGCTTCTACATCAGCGACGGGAACAGCCAGACAGAGGCGTTCAACGTCGAAATTGACATCCAGGTAACTGTAGAAAAATAATCTGGTGATCCATTTTTTTATCTGAATTGTTTTCTCAGGTGAAACAGGTGAAAAAAAAATAATTGTAAAAATGTACAAAAAAGTTTTGTCAGTTTTCCAGGTGAGTTTTAATGTACATAACTTTCTAACACAGAATATATGTACCTTGTTCTTAGAATTCATAGTGAAATATAACAAGACACACACCTGCCAAAACAGATAACAGAATAATGATCCCGGAGAAACGTTTTGTTCACCTGTTCTTTAGTCTTAAACACAAGAGAAAACTTTTAGGATCACTTTTCTCATTTCCTCGCTTTTGTAGCCACATAAAGTAAATATATAAATGTGTTTTTCATGGTAGTTTTCCATAATATTTAAGCCTACAGTATATATTCACGTCACCTGCTTACAAACAGGATGTGCATCACCACTGTAAGGAGACACTTTTACTTTGATATCCGCCTCATCTGTCAAGTCACACACACGTTTTCTGTACACAAAACTCCTCATTTAGGAGATTTCAGGACCGTGTTCCTGTGAATGAGAGATTATTAGACGGAGGTTTTGCACTCACGAGTTGTTGGTAAAAGTGAAAAGCAAATAATTCATCCTCAATGTTCTTAAAAAGTTTGAATTAACTAAAGATTTGCTTATTTACTCGACTGTATTCTGTAAATACGTTTAACCATCTCCGTGGATCATTTCGGGTCTTCAGAAGAACTCAATAAAGGTTTTTATTTGTTATCATGAACTATTACAGCGTCTCTGTGTCATCAGGAAAAGTTTGAGTTTAGTTTTAAAGCTTCACACACACCACCGTCTTTAATCTGCTCCTGACTCCATCGAAGAAAATAAAGAACCGATCCGTCCTCAGACTGTCAGCCCAAATACACTCAGCATCCACATCCATCACTTAAGCCTGGTTCAGGTCTAAAGTTGAATTGATGAGGCTGTCAGTGAGCCGTGTGTGTGTGTGTGTGTGTGTGTGTGTGTGTGTGTGCGTACTGTAAGCCTTTGAGCATTTGTGTGTGTGTGTGTGTGTAGAGGAAGTAATATAGAGTGTGCTTAGTAGAGAAATCAATAAGAGAGACGAACTTAAATGCAGGTTGTCGGCTCTCTTCACCACTTTTATGTTGAAGAACCTTCAGCGAGTTCTGCAACAATCTTCATTGTCGATTAATCTCTACATTATTTTCTAGAAAAATCGATTGATGGTTTGGCCCATAAAATGTCAGGAAATAGTGAGAAATGTCCACGGTGATGTCTTTAAGTGTCTTGTTTTGTCCAAAACCCACATATAGTCAGTTTAATATGATATGAAACAGAGAAAAGCGGGAATATTCTGTTTTTTGAGAGGCTGAAAACAGCATTTTGTGCCATTTTTGCATGAAAAAAATACATTTTAAATGAAAAACGTTTATTGCAGCTTCACCTTCAACAAAAGATGGATTCTCTTGTCCTACATCTGTCGCTGAACAAATTAGTCCCACATATTGTTATTGCACATAAATCCACGTGGCTGTTATTATCTCATGAAGTCTTTCTTGGGTGTTTTCCTCCCTCAGCAGAGTCTGGAGGACAGGAAGCCCGTGGTGGCGGTCAGCAGCATCCACGTGGAGGAAAACTCCGGAGTCGTCATCACCAACTCGTCTCTCAGCGTCCACGACCAGGACACGCCGGAGAACGAGATCCTCTTCACCATCGTCAGGAAGCCGTCCTACGGTGAGCTGACGACCGCACACACACACACACACAGACACACACTCGCACACACACACACACACACACACACACAGGCTGCTGTATGTGGACTCAAGGTCTGAAGTCTATCCAGAAGTCTTATGCAGAAACCCTACAATGAATCCTACATTCAGAGGAGCTTCAGCTGCTTGGTCTCAGTAATAACACTGAATCAACAGAAACTGAACACTAGGACCTTGATGAAGGACAGATGTATTCCAGGACTCTTGTAAGAGACTGGTATAGTTTTAGGAAGGTGTTCCTCATGAACAGAGAGTTTCTGTTACTGGAATCTGAGCTCCACTTTAACTCAAACTCAAGTTCTTCTCTTTCTATGTCGGGAGAGAGACGATAATCAGCAATGGTTGAACATCCAAACATAACACCGTCCCTTCCCTCCAGACCAAGTCACCCAAATCATCCCGTCCTCGTTAATATGTGTACTTGTACTTGTGAGGCAGAGTTGTAAGAAAGAGCGGTGACATAATATGCCGTTGATGTGTGCTGTACATGTCTCTGTAGAAGCTCAGAACCAGGAATTTAAAAAGTGAATTATGTCGTGATTACAGCTTTTAAACTGTAACGACGTCGGAGACAGAAAGCAGAGTCTATGCATATATACACAGAAACACAATACACTGCAGGTAAAGATTGGAGAATTATGCAAAAGATGTGCAGCTGATATATTAGCATATATACATGAACACATACACAACACAGATACTATCAGACACACACACACACACACACACACGCACACACTAATAAACAGCCCAGCAGAGAGTTATGCTGAAGGCTTTCCAGCATGTTGACAGTAAATTATTGTAAACATGATGAACACACACACACGCTTGTAAACACATTACTCTCACGTCCGACACCCCGAACAGCTGAAAAGAAGACAAACACACCGCCGGTCCGCCGGAGAGCCGACTGCAGCCGTTCCTCACGCGCTCAAATCTACCGACCTCCAGCACTCTGTTCTCCTGACGGCCCCTAAACCTCCCAAATTGAGTTTTCTTTTCTCCGGCCTGCCAAAGCCCTGCCACACCAGAAGAAATAGCTTCACACACAAACACATATATATATCTTACTCAGCAATATATCATCGTACTCATCTTTAGGGAAAATTAGAGCGTCAGGAACTGGGTGAAAAATTCAACAAAGAGAGTGAAGAGCAATAATAAGTCATTCATCACGTGGGAATAATGTCAAGAGAGACAAAAGATGCTGAATATGCATTAAAGTTACTGTGAGGAACTGTTACCTGGTCCTGAACCAGTCTCAGTGTAGTCCTGATCCTCTATGTGAACCAGTCTCA